AAGAGGAACAAGAATGTTATGATCAAATGAGTTGGTTGATAAGTTAAAATTTGGTTGTATGTTATTATTATTATCACCATTTGAAAAAGAAATACTGTTATTTGTCTAACAGCTGTCGCCTTTCTACTGACTGAGACTGTACATGCTGAGGTTGTACACAAGATGGATTTGATACATATTGTACCATAGGTGGCATTACATTGACAGGTTGATGCTGAACAACAGGTTGCTGAACATCAACAAGAAAAGGCTGAACAGCAGGTAGCTGTACGTTTACTGTTGGAGGCTGATGTGCAAGAAGCTAACTGACAGGTGGTTGGACATCAGCGGGTGGCGACTGATATGCCCGACGCTGCATTAAGACTTGCTGATGCAGGGGCTTGACACCCTGCTGATCATTTTCTCTTAAATCCGACCTAGCCCTCTTAGACCTGGGGGTTGCTTTTGGCATCTACCACAAAGATAATTTTAATTATTAAATAAAAAGATATTAAGTTGCTATCAGTTGATATTAGTTAGGCTGTTCGGCCACTAGGTTCTAATCACGCATGAGCTGGTAATTAATCAATAAATAAAATATCACTGCATGTTTATTTACATATATTCATTATATTCTATATATAATTATTATTATTAGATTTAGATATTTTTATTTTATTTATTTATTTATCTTTTTTATTTATTAATTTATTTAGTTTTGGAACCTTTCTGCTGAAAATGTGTCAGAGTTAAATCGTATACATATACATGCACAGTGCGTTAACTGGAGTGCAAGTACTAGTTACCCGCACTCTAGAGCATGCCCATTGATTGGCTCATTGTTGCTTGGGTTTTACTTTTTGGGACGGCAGAGACAGTGAAAGCGACAGAAATATCATATTCAGATGCTCGTTCATTGGTTACCTTTTTCTGGGGTTTCATATTGTGACAACAGGGAACGTGTTTTTATGTTTAGCTATGATACAAAAGGGAAAGAACATAAAAACACTCGTTAATCTGATTAATACTCGGAGGCTACGCCCTCTCGTACAAATCAGATAGTCACGTGTTCCTTTGCTCTTTTTATTACTCATTAATTTAAAGTCGTAATTTTAATCATTAATAAAGATTTATTAGTAGGCCGCTAAGGCACCCATGTTCAGAAACCAACATGTCATGGTAGTTGACAATGAATAAGACATGTTTTTTGTACTAATTTTATAGAATATTCTCTTAGAATTAATAATTGTAATTATGACGTCATCACCGAGCATGCGATGACAACCAAATTTTTTACCGGCTATAAACTTATTTTCAATAAACATGACATGTATACAGAGCCCAAATGGACTATTAATATTCAAATATCAATTGTGCAAAAGAAATACTGTTAATAAAGTGACGAAAATTGTAATTAAAAAAGAAATGCTTCTCTGCAAATGAATTCGACTCTTTTCTTCACGGTGTTTTCCAGAAAGGAAGATAATCTAAATTCCGTACTTCAAGTACGGTTCTGTATTTATATACTAATACCAACGTACCGTTATGCTGTGTGCATGATAAATTGCTTTGTCCAGATAATGTGTACAAACCTTATTATCTCTCAATAATAGACTCCAAAGAAAATAGAGACTGCAAGTGTCAGCTATATATATTTGCTTTAGAATATTGCTTTTGAGGGATCTCCACTTTTCCAGAATACAACAAACATTCAAACATTGAATAATTTGTACAGTGAGGATATATTGAAGTTAACACAAAAATTTAACTTATTACGAGCTCGAAGATCATATACAAAGAAGTATCATGTTAATGAAAATTTTGAACGGAACTTGTACTAACTGTGGTGGGTAGTGATGGAAATTTCTGAGGAAAATGCTGTTTCTTCGATTTGGAGATCAAAGTAATATTTATTCCTTAAATATTTTTATTTATGAGAAGTTCATGAATGCAGGAGCACATTTGGCACGAATCTCCATGTGTCCATCTAATGCGAGTTTTGGGCTCATGTTGACTTTTTCAAGATCTTACGTTTGTCACATCTATTTTTTCTACTTTATATATGATCCACAATAAAATTATTATATCTATGCCGAAGCAAGAGTATATTCAGCCGATACTTTAGTAACATAAAGCTAGTAAGTAACATTGAAATCCTAACCATTGGGTCACATATTCTTATTCTGGAAAAGTTATTGGGTCACGACACCCATCTCCCGCCCATTGATGTCTTTTTTCGGCTGGAGCACTGCTTAGTAACAAGAAAGCAGCCATCGTGAATGGTTTTATATATACACAAAACGATTTCTCAAAAACCGATATAAAACCAAAGTTTGAAAAAAAAGTGAACGGATGGTGTTCGGGCTAAAATATATTTGCCTAAATCAGCAGTATTATACCCCTAATTCAAACAATTATAGGGACATACTAGTACATGTATTTAAAACAGTGTATGCATTTCATACTAGTGTATAAAGCCTATATTTCCGGATTTCAAAATTATTGTTTATCTCATGATTTAAATAGTTACAGAATACTAGTACATAATAAACGTAATTTGCAATTTTCTCAAAGAAATAAGTGGAACATGCCCTAAATAAACGCTAAAAAGGAAAATATATTGTTCCAGAAAGTTTTCTTCTGATTTCCACGATGTCCCATTACAGCTATTACGACACACACATAACGCGAAACAGCGTTAAAACGAATTTATGATGGTTTAAAGTCGAAAAAAAAAACAAAGAAAAAAAATCTAAAAAACAAAACAAATGAAACTACGATGTTTAAAACTCGGCATAATATCGAATCATCGTCATCGTACTGTCGACCTCTCGTCATCGTGGTTCCGTTCTTTCGTGGCCTCGGAGCCATTATTCAGTTAGTATTCTTGCTCAAGAAAATAACGGCTTGCCCCTAACTGGCTTTGTGCCCACACGGCGAGCGATACATAGATGACTAGTCCGACGCGCTAACCACTCGCCATAATAATACTTTAATTTATTTATTATAAATAAACATGCATAATAAGTATTACAACAGAATGATATGGTTATAAAGATATTTATTTCGTGTACAAGTTATGTTATTATTTTTATTAGAGAATAATATGACCGTTATAAAATAAGATTCTATTCCAAGTATTGGCACCATTGTAACAAAAATGTATTTTTACCATAATTCATGCGGTGTTGTGGTATAACTATTATGCGATGCAGATCGAAAATGGGAGCAAAACCTTAATAATTTTAATTAGAAAGCAAAGGTACTGTACATTTATTCTGGGAATATCCGTACATAAAACACCATAGGAATGAAGTGTTTAAATACAGCAATAGCGAGAACGATATATTGACAAACATGTGATGCATGATAATAATTTAAACAACTACATACATTTACATGCAACATACAACATATACAAATGTTAAAACAAATCAATGTTTACAAATTACAAGCAATCGGAATCCCAACCATTCACCCTTTCAGTTTCATCAAATAACAAGGAGGTAATCATTAAGGGTATGACCATAACCCCATGCTATAATCATGAGTTACTGTTAATAAATGTGTTAGCAAAAGTTATTTTTTAAAGTCAGTAAAGGATGATTACCTGACTTATACTCATGGTTTGGACGGGGAAAATAAAGTGAATGGGACCCGAAAAATATGTTTTAAAACTTCATTATTTAAATGACCATTCATATCTGTTACAGAAATTGTACACCATCTGTTAGCCTGCGTTCCAGTCTGTCATTTGTATGTGCTACTGTTCGGCTGATCGATATTATCAAAAACACGAATAAGTATGAAATAACGCGTATGTATGTAATGAATAAGCAAAAAATATCAACGCCTGAATGCCAGGCGTACAAATTATGATAAGTTAAGGCCGCTACCATAACAAAAATGATAAAAGATCTCTCAAAGTGATCCTTTGCTTATATATCTTTTAAATAACAAAAACTTCATTCAATACCATTTCTTTTTATATCATTTCAATAAATGTAAAATATTAAAAGGTCACCAACTTCACAAAAATTATAAAATAAAGAAAAAAAGTGATCACAAAGTGATTTTTTCTTTTTATATATCGTTTAAATAACAAAAAAATGTCTTTAGAACCTCCAAAAATGCTGCTTTATTGTTTAAATAACATTTCTACAACATTTTTGGCCGTGAGGCCGCTGGGCCGCTAGGCCGCCAACTTCACAAAAATGATAAAATAAAAAAGTGTTCTCAAAGTGATTTTTTTTTCTTTTCATATATCCTTTAAATAACAAGAAGTGTCTTTATAACTTCATTAAATGCCGTTTTATTGTCAAAATAACATTTCTACAACATTAAAATTCTGGTCGTCAGGGCCGCTAGGCCGCCAACTTCACAAAAATTAGAAAATAAAAAAGTTCTCTGAAAGCGATTTTTTCCTTTTATATACCTTATAAATATCAAGAATAGTCTTAAGAACCCTATTAAGTAACGTTTTTATCATATTTATAACATTTCTACAACATTAAAATTTCCGGCTGACAGGTCGCTAGAGTTAAAAAAAAACTGTCTAAATGTTTTTTTATGTAACTTTTAAATGGTAAGACATGGTAAAAAATTAATTAAGAGTAGTTTTAATTTCTTTGCCAAACGTGTATTCTTTTTTAAGTTCAGGCCGCTAGGCAGCTAGACCGCCATTTTCATGCCGCTAGGCAGCCATTTTCACGCCGCTAGGCCGCTGAGCCGCTAGGCCGCCAACTTCACACATCATATGAGGTAGCATGCATAGTGTATGAATGTAATGGATATCAGCTAACGTTTATAGTACCATAAAATTAAAATTTCATCATAATTAATATATTATAATGTAGTTTTTTGTAGGGCTTTCCATAATTGCTTTAAAATTTTCAACTTGGGCGATAATTTTGTTCACAGCTATCGTCCCAATGTAACCTTTAAAAAAGAAACATCCAATCATTATTTATAGACTTTAAAAAAATGTAAAAGATAAATTAAGTTGAAAACCATTTACAAAACTTTCACGGACAGTTAACTCTTTGTATAAAGTACTGTCATATGTTAAACATATTTAACATGTGCATCGGTTTAGAAAGATTACATTTGTACGTTTCTACTTTAATTTTATGTTTGTAAATCGTACAAGAACTTTTATTAGGTATATTAAAGAAGCCGTTCCAAGTTTCAATGGATTATTTCTGTTAGTGGGAGTAGATGTTTGAGTGAAATGACGACATGCCACGGGAGACGAACAAAGGTGAACCACTTGCTAAGCTAAGCACAATTCTTAGTCGAGCTAAACTTCCTAGTAAGGTAAATTTACAGATTCGTCTTTACTACTGATTTATTGTAACATCTTTGAACAGAAGCGGTGGATTCTTAGTTTCTTTGAAACATATACATGTATGTATGATACTAATTAGAAAAGGCTGTTGATAATTTAAGAAATAACCTTTATGCCTGTTATCCTTTAAAAGTTATTTGTGATGTTGAAACGTTATTAATTATCTATATGCTCTGCCTGTTATCCTTTAAAAGTTATCTGTGATGTTCAAACGTTAGAACTTCTAATTTCCTTCATCTCGATTTTATTAAGTTCTCACTAAAGGTAATTAAAACAATGCCCGCAAAAAATACCAAAAAAAAACTAAAATACTAACATACAGATCGCTTGCAGCTTTCCACAACTTGTCCCACGCAATTACATTTACATAATTATTCACTTTAATTTTATCTTATCTATTTACCTTTTTTATGAAACATAAATTATAAACAGTGGTTACTTGTTAATATGGTTACTTGTTACATTAAAAAAACAATATCGAAAGAGTGATAACACCGACTATCTCTGTTATTTAACACACATGAATACGAAATATTATGCTTCTATTTTGGTAGTTTTACTAGTAAGCAATGACTTTGTGCATGTGTTATTTGCTCTCATGCCAGCATTCAAAACAAGCATTTTGAAAGTAGTATTTTTTCAATATTAAAAGATATAAATATTTTCAACACTTCCACTACACGGCAACGATGTCCCAAAACAACAGTTCGCTTAGTACAGATGCCACAGAGATGAGTCAAACAAGAGGAAGATCTGTCCAAAGAACTGGGACATCTAGATGTAAGTATTTATAATATATTGTGCTTTATGGTTTTTGTTGTTGTTGTTTTTTTTTATTAATTCATGTATTTATAAAAGGTTACATATATGCTACAATGTAAACCCATTTCGGCGATGAGATAAAAAAATAAAGTATATAGTGTCGTATGAAGTGTCAAATGGTTAAATTATAATTGTGTATGGTCCCTTTGTTAAAACGTGTTTGAAGATTACCTTACTCGTATCTAGCAACAACTCGTAGTCCTAATTGCAATTGAAGATGACAACTTGTGCAATTAGGTAGCAAAGCAATTAATTGGCATAATTTAAGCGAAGAACTGTTAACCTTATTAGGGCGGTGACCTTTGGGTGTCTGCCTCTTAACCCAAGGATCATGATTTCGAGCGGTACTCAAGTCACTCACAACCATGTTTCTATATATATGACACCAGTACTTGTAAGATCCAGGAAGCGGACTCGAATGTGATTAATATAAGTTGCAAGAACTTAATCTCAATTGAGTTCAAATAAATATTTTTTAACTAAACTGTTCACCTATATCTAAGTATAATTTAACTATTTTAAAAAGTTGTCATATTACCAGAAGCTAAGTAGCCAATAAAAACACGGATTTGGCAAAGATATATAAAAATGAAACATAAATAAAAATCAAAATTCAATTGATGTTATGTAAAAAGGTTAATTTCTCTGGTGGAAGTATCAATATGATTTGCGATTAAACGGTTGTATGTGACTATGAATATATTAAGATTATGATGAAAGATAAACAGGTTGAAGCATTATCTTTCATCCAGATCGCGATCGGGAGATGCCTTATCAAAGGCGAGGACAAAAATCATCCCCTTCTAAATATCCATTAGAATTATCCCAAAATGTCACAGAGGACTGGGTAAACTTACTGGCCATTCAAACAGATGAAACAGTATCACATGCTGACGGGTCTCCACATTCAGTACCATCGTACATATCACAAGAGAGCCCTGACCGTTTACAGACAACCTATCTAAGTAAGCATACCATCAGTTAGATTAAAACCTGCAACAGACTTTTTAAACAGAAGTTAAATTTATACAAAAATGACTTAACGTTTGTTAATCTGCATAGAAATTTAAAGTGTTCTTGTTTACCATCGTAGAACATAAATTTATATCTCATGTGTCAAAATATTACAATATCAAATGACCTACATAGAATTATGTTTGCAAAATATTGACATTTTGATCTAAATTGCCATGTAAGACATACAACTTTATCATATATATCTATCACATTTAATTGCATGTTAAATTTTTCTCATTTTTACAAATATTGAGAAGTGGGTTTTGGTAATTGAAATTTTGTGGCCCTTTTAATATGTTTAAGCGTTTCTATGTTCTATTTTATTCTCAAAAATAAAGCTGGCTATAGTTTCTTAGTTCAAACAATTCAAATCGTCTAAAATAAAGATTTTTTGACGTTAAAAATGGCGTTTCTTTTTTAAGAAACAATCAAAACCAAAACATTTATTTTTTACAAAATATTATTTAGAACGCCAGGAGTCAACAAGTAAATCGGAAATGCATACCTTATTGTCACCAACAGAGACCTACAAACAACAGTATAGTGACTACTGTACCAGTGTCAGTGTTGAGTCAGGTAATGTGGATTTTTCTTCCAAGCTGAATATATATCTTCCTCCCTATTTTTATGTCATTATGTAAAATCATCACACAAAGAACAAAGGAAAATCTCAAGAATGAATATTTTGAATACAGGTACTTTAAATCGGGGCGTACTTTGGCACATCATTCTAAACAGCAAGATTGAAATGTGCTTTCCTAAATGTATGTCTGCATAAATCAGATAACCCGAGGAGCGGGGCAAATTTTGACCTTGGAACCTGATGATTATAAGTACAATGTGATGCTTCGCTCAGTGTCAATAAATTAAAGGTTTTGGATATTGCAATTCAAAACTAAAGATGATTTTGATTTAGATACGTTTACTATGTAACAAAATAATTCATGACGCAAAGGTGCAGCCATTTTTACCTCAGGGTGATGATTTGTTTCTTGCGCATATGTCCACTTGGCATTGCTACAGACTACAAGCTAGGCATGGTTGTTTTTGTATAAAAATACTTTAATGTGTTTTCTTAAATAAGTCTATTTGTACTAAATTCTATCGAAACATTATTGAATTTTCACAAAGCCAAGTTCTGTAGAGGTTAACTACTCAATGCTATATGTTAACTATTAAAGGTTTTTGTTATTGTTTTATTAGGCAATACTTTAATGTGTTTTCTTATATAAGTCTAATCAAATGACCCGGGGCGGGGCAAATTTTTATCAGAGGAAGCCGATAAACAACATTCTGCAGATCGCCTCATTAATACAAAAGTTCTGTCAATAGTTTTAATTTCCTGCTATTGATGGCAATGCTGCATATCGGACAAAAAGCTTAAATTTCACACAGGATTACTTTGTTTGACCAGATCAAAGTAGAATCAATTTCTTCCATTGGTTCAAAAGAGGACACGAATTTTAAATTGCTTACAAAAGGTAGGACGAACAGGTGCAAAGTATTATACGTTGACTTGTTTTTGGGCCATAAAATGTTTTATCATTAATTTTTAAATCTTAGTATAAATAAAGACTTTTTTCATCACAATACAGAAACAATAGTTTGCAAATAACAAATGCTTAAAATTATTTTATCTTTCACAAGAAAGTTTATAAAGAACAGGTGATTACACGTTATTCGTCAGTTGTATATTATGTCTTCTCTATTTATCGAGCAGAATCGGAATTGAAAATCATATTAAAATCAAAATCGAATAATGGACATTGTTTCTTTTAATCAAAACACGTTTAATATATTTTGCAAATAATAAGACCTATGAAATTGTGTTTTTTATTTAATGTTATCTAAGTGTTGCTTATTTTGTTTGCGGATATCAACACCTATGAAATTGTGTTACCTTATTTAAAGCATGCTTAGTGCAGCTTAGTTGGCAGGGAAGTTTCATCATTTGCAAAGTAAGCTACGATTAGCATGCTTTAAATAAAAGAACAATTTCAGAGGTGTTCAAAATCTGCAAACAAAATAAGTTGAGCTAAGCATGCTTAAATGAACCACAATTTCAGAGCAGCAAATATTTGCCAACTAAGTATTGTCCTTTTTCTGAAAAGTAAGCTACGATAAGCATTGTTTAGATATAGCACAATTTCAGGGGTGTCAATATCTGTAATAAAGCTGCACTAAGAATGTTTAAATTCAAAACACAACTCCAGAGGTGCCAATGTCTGCAAACAAAATAAGCATGCTAACTTGTCTTGTACAAATGGACACCTGTTAAAGTTTAAATAAAAGCTTTACCTCCGCTTTGCAGAGTATTCAAATCTGTAATATACACTGAAACTTAGGGCCACGGGTTCAAACCCCAGAAGGGTCAACTTTCTTTTTTTTTAAACTTTTAACATTATTTATGTATCTCTTCTATTTCTTTTGGGAAAACAAAAGTGTTTGATTTTAATAATTTGATTAATATAGATATTTTGACAAAATAATGCTTAATCTTATAACAAATATGGTACCTTACATTTTCAAAGTGCAATTAAGTCAAAACTAGAAATATTTAACAAGATATTAACAAATATACTTTCAAGAAAATTTAGGAAAATTTTGAAAACAGGCACTCATTTAAGTAAATCTTGGGGATTGTTATTAGCTCACCTGAGCTTGCTTAGGGTGAGCTTTTAGGATTGTTGAATGTCCGTCGTCCATCGTCCGTCCACATTTGTTTGTTAACACTCTAGCGGTCACATTTTTGCCCCAATCATCATCAAACCTTGTCAGGATGCTTGTCTATGTAATTGCTCGGATGAGGTTGAATATGGGTCATCTCGAATGAAAAACTAGGTCACAGGAGCTAAATATAGAAAAAGCTTGTTCACAGTCTTGTGGATACTGTTTTGATCCAAATATCCTGAAAATTGGTCTAAAAGATTGTTTGATGATTTCTAGGTCAAGTTCGAATATTGGTCACCTGGGGTCAAAACAAGGTCACACCGCCTAAATATGGTAAAGCCCTGTTAACACTCTAGTGGCCACATTTTAAACTCAACTGTCATGAAACTTCGTCAAGATTCTTGTCTAGGTAATTGCTCGCATGAGTTTGAACATGGGTCATCTCGGATGAAAGACTTGGTCACAGGAGCTAAAAATTGAAAAAATCTTGTTAACACACTCTAGTGGCTACTGTTTGGATCCAAATATCCTGGTAATTGGTCTGAAAAATGATTTTCATGTCGAAATAGAATATGGGTTTACTGGCGTAAAAACTAGGTCACCCCGCCCTAATATGGAAAAACCTTGTTAACACTCTGGTGGTCACATTTTTCACTCAATTGTCATCAAACTTGGTCAGGATGCTTGTCAAAGTAGTTTCCTGAATGAGTTTGAACATGGGTCATTTCCAATGAATATCTAGGTCACATGAGCTAAAAATAGAAAAGAATTGTTAACACTCTTTGTGGCTACAATTTTGATCCAAATATCCTGGGAGTGGGTGTGAAAGTTTGTTGTAATGATTACTAGATCAAATTTGAATATGGGTCACCTGGGGTCAAAAACTATGTCACATTGCCCAAATATGGAAAAACCTTGTTAACGCTCTAGTGGTCATATTTTTGACTCAATTCTCATCAGAATTGGTCAGGATGCTTGTTTAGCTAATTGCTCGGATGATTTCGAGTTTCGGATGAAAAACTAGGTCACAGGAGCTAAAAGTAGAACAAATCGTTTCACAGTCTATCGGCTACTGTTTTTATCCAAATATCCTGGTATTTGGTCTGAAAATTTCTTTTGATGATTTCTAGGTCGATTTAAATATGGATAACCTATGCTTGTATAGGTAATTGCTGATGAGTTCGATGGGTTAGGTTATCGATCTAGGGCCATCTTGGCCCTCTTGTTTAAATTAGGCTCTCTAAGCAAGGTATTGGTCAAACATGTGTTAAAAATTGTTTGGTGGGATAAACTTTGTAAACATATTTCATAAATTTTGAGTAGCATCGTCACTTTGCATTTGTGAATTGTTAGCTGAATGCTACATTTTGATTCCTACCAAAATTTATGTTAAAACAGTTTTATTTATTAAACTTCGCCCCGCGCCCTCGCAAATAAGCGTGTTTTCGCTGCGCGCCCCCGCCACTTTAACTTGTTTATTTTCGACTTTTCGCTTGGCGGGGTCGCGGGGCGTTAACACGAATAGCACAAATCAGGCACCATATTTTACCGATATATACACCTTAGAAAATAATGTTGTTATTTAAAGCATGCTGAACGGTGCGTAATTTGCAGATACGAATGCTATTTTAAAGCATTCTATTTGGTGCTAATTTTGTGTTTAAATTATGTTGTTGCAACAAATGAAAATATGTCTTTCGTATTTAATGCTTGCTAAGAACAGTTGTTTTTGGGTTTCAGAAATGGACACCTCTGACCATAGTACACCTGCTTCTTCCATTAATCCTTTTGATAAGGTAAGCCTGTTTTGTTGTTGATTGAAACTGACATTCAGTTTCTTTGCTTATATGATCAAACTATATCATATAGCTTACACAAAATGCATAAGGCGGTCCTCAAACTTATTTTATCTTTTTAATTTAAATCGATTTACAAAAGGCATAATTTGATAATAAAGGAGACATTACAAAATATCTCAAGTTTCATTATGCTTGAATCACGGGCAAAGTATTTGTTAATTTCAGCTTTTAATTATTATGCTAAATTGACCAAACTTGCACCAGATACCAAATTAGAATCGCATTTTTTTTGGTCGACATGTAAGCATATATTATGAACCTAAAACTCATAAAACACATTTTATGTTTAAAACGAATTTTAAAAATTGTTTAAAAGCACTATACTGCCAATTGTCAGTATAGATTATACGCGTTTATGATTCAAACATTGATTTCTTTGCGGAAGTTTAAATATGATCAGTATTAAGAAACAAATATCTTGAAAAAGTCGAACATTCTATTTTGTCGTTTTTTTCTGAACAATTTCATATAACATACATATAAAATACTTATGATTCAATTTACTCTTACACTTGATAGTATTGAATTTTTTAGACAAAATATTCCGTCAGGAAATTGATAAGGTTTCTTCAGAGAGATTACAAGAAAATAAAGAGTCAGTTATATCCAGACGAACTTGCAGACATTTTATTTTCGAAAGACTTGATTACAAAAAGTCATCGGGAATTTATAGAAGAATTGAACCACAGAATGGAAAAGTGCGACAAACTCATTAAATCAATAGTAAAAATGTCTAGGAAGGCACGTGACGAAGAACGGTTTGTTACAAAGATATTAGACTCGTTTAAAAAGGCAAACTATGAATATCTCGTTAATGATTTTGCCAACTTTGAAGGTAAGATCTTATAAAACAGCAAATATATTTAGGAAACTTTAGTAGAAAAAAAGTATAATAAAAGTATTTAAAGAAGTGTAAAAATCAAATGACTTAAAGAAACATGCCATTTATATATACACATAAAAATAGTTATATGAATTAAAAACATTTTGATGTATAGAGTGGGTATCTATGTTATATCTCCTTAAACTTTTGGGAAACATATTGAGTTTTTGCCCGTCCCGTCCGTCTGTCTTTTCGTTCGTCTGTTTGTTCGTGCAAACATCTGGATTCTTATTTGGCTCATGTGAAATAGAATCTGTACTTTCACATTTATGCCATTAATTCCGTCGGAAGATTTTACGTGACTATGTACCTTTTATGTGGCTTGACATAACAACAGAAAGAACAATGGAGTAGCCAAAATTACATAAAAACCGCCTCATTAGAAGGGACAGACGGACTAACATGCATAGATTTGGGGACTTAGGTGGTTTGAGGAACAATATGTACTTGTATTTGTCAATGATTAACGTGGCTATGCTTTCTCTTATTTGTCTAAAACAACATTCGAGAGAAAATCAGACTAGCCACCTAAGTATACAAAATGGTAGTATATATATATTGGTTGGTCATTTATTGTTATCTGATACAAAACATGACTTTCAAATATTTTTACAATCATTTATGAACATATTTCCTATTTCTCATATAAAGGATTCAGAACGAAAGGTAATGGTAACACATTTTAATTTCAGAACCTAGTGATTTTGACAAACCTCAAATACTTGATTCACCAGACGATATAACAGCTAGAACAGAAGACAGAGCGTGGACTAAAACCTTGTCCAACATTTTAAAACAAATTGGGGATGAAATAGACTTGTTGGATATCATTGATACACTACTGGTTAAAGACATTCTAACGTTCAAAGAACACCAGTCAATTATTGATGCCTCACCAAGTAGCAACAAACTAAAAGAGTTAGAGGAGTCGATCTCTCGAAAGAACAAGAATCATTTTATTGAGTTCCATTCTATCATAGAATCTGAATATCCTAGAGAATTAAAATTCGCTTATGATAACGATACTGATTTATCAATGGATACAACTACAGGTAACTATAATGATAGTTGGTTTGTAAAATAGAGAAAAATGTTTTGTTTTTTGTGTAGGTAGGTTTTATATTACTACTTTGTATATTTTTTTTTAAAATGACAAAAGAAGGTAGAATGTAGTTTCCGATAACAAGTAAAACTGAACAACTGATTCAAGGTTCGAGCGTTCTACTCCTTTCTGGTTTTAATTTATGTATTGAAGTCTTTTTAGAAAATATGGAAGAAGAAATAATATTGTTTTAACCAACTGTTCTTGAAAGCTGTTTAGGCTAGAAGGTTTCTTTTAATATTAGATAAAACCCATAGACTTAAAACATCTATAGTGTTTTTCTATTACAACAATTTGTGTCCTAGATTAGTTTTTATTAACTGATTTACAATCATTTCAAACCAAGCATGATGCATTATTTATTTCCACCGAAAGTGTGTAAAGATTGTAGAAGACGTCCGTGGCTTCGAGAATATGTTTTACAACTTAATAATGAAATTAAATAATATATTGCTTCAACAATTCCTGTAAAAAGAAATGGATAACTGGTCTTGGCCTTAATGTTTGAGAAGAAAAAAAATAATCCATATTAATCAATAATTGACAGTATACAAGAATCGTGTCATAAGGAAAAACATGCATGATAAAGTATATTGCAATTTGATGTCAGGATAATGGCTTAGATCCGAATATAATCTTTATATTTTACACACAGGATCTGACATGATTTATTTAATAAAAAATCATAAAACCAATTCAAGAAAATGGTATGACACACACAAAATGTAAAAAAATACGTTACTATGTGTTTTCTTTTAGACATCAACTCACCAGTAATAGAAATGCAAGTCTTGAAGGAGGTTGCAGTTGGAAAAGGTTTGCTTTGCTGATTAATTAATTCAATTATGAACTGTATGCATACTTATTCATATAAATGAAAAAGCAATATTATAATTCTCTAACGATGATATAACACATTTTTCATAAAATAATTGACTTCTTTAGACTTAATGGAACAGTTTTTTTAATCGATAGCACTGTGTATAAAGACATAGACAATGAAAAATGCAAGGTTGGGATGTTATTAAGTATTATAATAGTAAATAACACCATTTTGAAACTGAGACTTATATATTTTACCTATGTATTAACCACAAGACTGGAGAGAATGTTATTGCGAGTTACTATCTACATATCAATCCAGAATGATATCGCTTTTTAATATATTTGAAAATCATTTGAGCGTTTGTCTATGAATATTGCTAGGTTGATTTAAAAATATTGACACTACCTTCAAGATATATTTAAAATCGTATGAGTATTTTTTTCATTACTATCAGATGATATAGGTGAGACAGGCATAAAGCTTGAAATAAAAAGAGCAGCAGAAGAAGCCAGGGATATTGAACAAATGATCGTTGAGCAAAATTCTCCACAACCGAGCGACTTTCTGGTAGAAATGGTATAATTTGAACGTTGTTTACTTTAAATTTAAAAATAATGAAAATAGTAACCAAATAACATGTAATAACTGCAATGTCTTAATTAGGTAAATTGTAAATTAGCAATCATTTTACTTTGAGTCTTTTTCATTAAGTTTTGCCTAAATTGTTATATTTTGCTACTACGAATACGAATTTATTTTATTTGCATTTTGTTTGACATTGAAATCATATTTTACATTTGAAAGTAATTGCATTAATTATGAATAAACATTATCACATTACAGATTTCGGAAGATGTCCATTGTGGAGTAAAGAATGTAATATTCTCATGCATCGAAATAACATTTGAATGCATGTCAGAACAGTCGCGCATGCTTCTTCTACAGAAATGCAAAGATTCTGATAAGTTCTTAAAACGATGGGTCAGAGAACTGATAGATCGCAGCAAAATTGATAATCTTAAGAGAAAAGAAGTAAAAGAAGTGAAGTTAAAAATTCAAATAAACTGGCCTGGTAAGCAAATACTATAGTTATCCGAAGATTCATGGATATTAAGACGACTTATTCATTCAACCAGTACTTGAAATATGATAAAAATTGTCAGTTGACTCCAACATTATGTTAGAATGGCATTCATAACCGTATTAACAATAATTTTATTTGCATTCCGAAATGTGTGGCTAATCCTAAAAAAATCTTGTATTTAACACTTTTTAGTCAGTAGCCACTTTAGCTATGAAAGGTATACGAACTTACTCATTAAAATGTGTAAGAAATTCATATTGTTCATGGATACAAATGAACATGCACCACTAGAGAAACGAAACGTTTAGTAGAACTCAAAGGGACAAAAATTGTATATCATATTTTTATCATTCAAACATGCTTGTGTGTTGAAATAGCCTATTTAAATTTGCTTGCGTGTTGAAGTAGCCCAATTAAATTTGCTTGCGTGTTGAAATAGCCCACACCGGGATAGTTAAATATTCATGCTATGAAAGGTGTACGAACTTACTCATTAAAATGTGTAAGAACAGTGTATTTATCTGCTTACGAGTCCTTAGCAGCAGAGACCGACAAGTTTATTTTTGTGCAATAAAACTAGTTCGTGGCATTTGAAACTCTACATATGTTTTGTAGACTGATCATCAGGAGGTAGACTTTAACATGATTTAATGATTTTGCATAAAACTTATTGAAGAGGTAAATTCAATTGAAAATAACGTTTCATTCAGAGGTCAAGAACATTAACATTGTTTTTTGTTTTCAGATTTTGTTATCAGTCGACAAGACATTGCAAGAAACTATGTTTATCTCAAGACTAACCTGGAACCCAAACATTACAGTAAAATATTTCAAAGTAGTAAAGGGACACCTAATATGATAAACGATGAAGAAGAAGATGAGAAAAAAAGATGCAAACAATTTATATTGTTCATGGTTACAAATGAACGTCCACCTTTAGAGAAACTTTCAGCAGAACTCAAAGGCACGAAAATTATGGAACATATTAAGGGAAATGCGAAATATTACAGTATGTTGATATATCGACTTAATTATTATTTCAAAACACCCCAGATACAAACAATAGAAAAAAGACCGATTTTTCTCTTTTTCTATGCAAGGTTTGACCCATAGATCTTACGGGGCCATTTCAATCATTTTTAATCTTTAATTGTAATTTTCTGAAGCATACAGAAAGACCTTATGAGTCTTTTTAAATAATGACTGAAAAGATACATGCACACATGCATTTAACACAATATCATGTCAATTTCTATGATATTATAAAGCAAACGTTTAAAATTTGATATTGTTCGAACTGATTAGAAAACTTGTTGTTTCAGAAAAATGTGCATGCAAGTTAACCAAAAAGAAGATAGTTGAACATTTTACATTCCTGGAAAAAGAAATGAAACATGTAGAAAAAATGATAGAAATTTTCATTGATTTCTATACACTAAATAATGACAAAAGTGAAACAAATGAGAGAAAGGCAAACGTTTATAAGACTTTAAATGATGACAAGAATAAAAAACGCAACGAATCGGAGCCATCTAAGACTGAAGCATTTCTAAGAATGATTCTTAAATCAGAAAATGACGACATACAAGTGTGCTTATTTGGTGAAGCCTTAGTAGATACGGGTCAAGAACAACTTCTCAGGAAGGTTTTAATAAAAACAGAAGAGTCAGCAGGTAAAAACTATTATTGAACCACATACTAGAAACAAATGATTCAACTTTGTATTTACTCCTTTCAAACCAGATACCAATGTGCATAACTCCTAAAGAAACCAAGAAACAAATAATAAATAAAAAAAAAACCTAACGTATGCACAAACAAATTAGAATGCACGTATACACATATATACATAACAAGAAAGAAGTATCTTAATTTTATTTCTTTGATCGTCTTTTGGTGGTAAAATATAATTTTAGAGAACAATTCTATTGTAGCAATTGCAGACAAAAATATGAAGTGCATGATTTCCCCTTAATTTTAACTCGAGTACTCCTGGAAGATTATAATAAGGATAACAAATATATGACGTAATTAAATAGCATTAAAGCAGGCTTAATACATTTTCAGATATTTGTTTAACAAAAGATGACATACGGCGAAACGAAAGCTTTCTTTTACAAGAGATGGAGCCAATGCTTTTTGTAACAATGTTGTCAGACCAGGATATTCGAGAGCAGATTGTGGAGACAAATTCACGTGAGAAGAGATGCAAACTATTTTTGAATTTCTTGAAAAATTGTGATTCGACGGTTATCGAGAAATTTACGTCGGAACTGCAGCGACTTAATCTTAAGTCCATCATAAATTATCTCTACAGTTCAAGGCGTCAGGGTCAGTTTGGTAAGGTTTTATAACTTTGTTTTGAACCAACTACTTTTTTTATTTAAATCAAGAATGTTTTCTGTTTTCAAACAGAAATTTCATTTTAAAGTATCCGAAAATTTGTTTTTGTTGGTTTTAACGCTGCACCAACACAGTATATGTCATATGGCGACATTCAAGCTTTACCGGTAATGAAAGGCCACAGGTGCCTTTCCATGCATTATTTCAGCCTGAGTAGAAATGCCATCGTTCCGAAAGCTAACTGGATAGATGCCGCACATGATAGAATCAAATCTCTCTCTGGATTGGAACCCACAGCGGTGAGGGGTTAGTGGTTTGAAGCCAACGTTCTTAACCCCTCAGTCACGACGTGCTTAGCATAGAATTATATAAATTCTGAATTTTTACCTCTATCAAGCTTTTAAAGTATTACAATATAAAGATTAACTGGCATATAATATCATTTATCTCATCAACGGTACTTTCTGATTCTATTAAGCATTCAACATAGTTTCTTTTTGATATTAAAGTGACAAAAGATGACATTAGCCGAAACAGAGCTTTCCTTGAAGATATGTTAGAATCAAAGAAATTGCAAGATATTTTCACAAGTGATGGCAGATTAGACGTTATAATGTGTACAGATGAACATGTTTTCAAAAGGTTTACAACATACTTGGAGAAAGAGAAGCCAGAAATTGTGACTTTTCTGGTTCAATCTAGAGAAGAAGGTAAAGCAGTCAATTAAGATTATTATTTTGATTTCGATCCATTTAGTTATGCTCTAATACATATTTTAGTAAGAGTAGACCAAAATTTCTTTATATTCCTGTTTCAATGAAAATGATAATGTATAATCACCCATAATGAGCGCTTTGAGGAACTGAAAAATTAATATCGTTGGTAAAGGACAACGGTATGCGAATTAAAACAAAATTTAATGTATGGTTTATGAGTTGTGGCCATTTATTCTAAACTTAAAATTGGATATTAAAATGGCTCTTTTTCAAGATACAAATGATAACATTTAGCTTATGCATCAACACACTGATCTGAAAAAGATTAGAATATGCCTAAGTGTCACGTACTTAAATGTGGCAAAATACATAAGGAAGGTTATACCTTTTAAACGGCGTGTGTAAAGTTTTATATCCTACTATGCAAAAATAGTGACCAACAGAAAAATATATGAATACCGTTCAGAGTGAATTTTTAAAAGATTGGCTTAGTTAGTTTTTATATTTTATCTTAAACATTTTTCATTTTCAATTGTTGGTTAATAACCTTAAGCGATATACAGCTAAATTTGACACCAAAAGCTAAAAATAACGATTCAATGTCATTTGATATTTTTGAGAATTTTTTATTTCTTTAGATAAAAACATGCGATCAGTTATGGAAAGTCTTATAGAAGCATACAGCTGCAAATC